TAAATGCGTTTAACCATCATTCATGTATAGATAGTGGAATACTTCTGGTCTACATATCGTAATACGTATCAAATAAAGAAATATTCTAACTGATTGTTTTCATATGTAAATATTTATGTGTATTTGAAGTACATGTACCTATAGTAGAACACAACTTTATTATCGTATTCTATAAAGTTCTTCTGATATAGGCTATGCATTTTAGCCTTTGCGTCGTATTAACAAGCACTTCTCTCGTGACTCGTCAACGTTTTTTTTATAACACTACGTCAGTCTTCGCAGCTTTGCATTCTAATGTTTATAGTAGTATCATGTCATAATCACACATCATTTCGTTCCCGGAATCACTCGAAAGCGGTATTACCTTTTTTATCTTGAATTCAAGCAAAACATTGTCAGGATTGTAGGGCCCCCGCTCCCGGCTACGCCACTGTTTACTGGCAATCAATCCCCATTCCGGATATTGGAAGTAAAGTGGATCACAGTCATACATGATGTATTCTATTCGTAGAAACTATTCGTCGAGGATAATGAGAACCGTGTGATGTGATAGGCCTATTTCATGTAAAACGCGAATCTCGAGGTTTGTTGGGAAAATAGGCACTGGAACGTCTCTTCACATGACGTTTACATGGTATGGAAATGGAGGTATTTTTTGGTGGATGGAAATACCCAACGATGCACGTTCGCAGTGGCGCACCCAAGGGGGGGGGGGCCTCGGGGGGCTTGAGCCCCCCCCCCCCCAGGTTATCAATTTGTGGTTTTTTTGGTGTAATTTTTTTTTTATTTAGTTCCACGATTTGACCTTGGTGATATGTATGTGGCCTATTTTCGCTGAGTAGTTTAATAGGCGTGTAAGTCCGTCCCCCCCCCCTAAAAAAAAAAAAAACCAATCCTGGGTCAGTGGGTGCGCCACTGCACGTTCGCCTTCCCTGCGTGCATTATTTTCCATAATCTTCCGTACCATAGAAATCAGACATGACCATTGGACATAATTTTTCTACGTTTACGATTCAAATTTACCAATTCTTATATTGTATCGTCCTTGATCGTATAATTTAGAGTTTTGCTCAAACGAACTAAAACCATGAAGGAGTATTCGATTTCGTCTCGTCTACGCCGAACCATATCATAAAGAAAATATCTTTTTTCCCACATCAATTTAATAACAATTTTGTGCGATTTCGTCACACACAGCGACGCAGCGAAAACTAGTTGCTTACTATTTGCTTGTATAGAGATGAAAAATACTTCATAGGCCATTTTCATTTGATAGCATTTACAATGTTTATTCTTATTCTTTTCCTCGTGTGTATTTATTGTGGTTTGTGATTATTTTAGATAGATTTTACACGCTCACATATAACACGGGGAATGTAGGGTCATTGTGGTTATTGACATATTCCTTCATGTTGTTAAGTTATTACATACATACATTTACATATGGCCTTCTGTGAGTCCATTTTCATAGAGCCGATTAGGCCAAACAAATTAGTTCTGCTTCCGATTACATGGCATTTGAAAATAGGGCAGGTAGGAATTTTTTTATGTACGATCATATACAGAGGCGTCTGCGTGTAGTCAAGGGTAAAAGGTAGAAGTTGATGGTTTTGGGGTGTTTTTTCCCCTCATTTTGACTTAAAAAAATAGGGTAGGGGCTGTCAGAATGGGGTAGGTAGGGAAACCGGAAACAGAACCATTTTGGTCCTTACGTGCATGTAAACGAACGTGCCGATTTGTGCTGAAAACACAAGAAATATGCTTTACATTAAACCAGGCTAATATGTGTTAGGTAAGGGATTCGCATCTTACCGTTCGGTAATTTGCCGTTCGTCAACAGGTTTAAATTGAAGGATGAATAAATAAATTGATTTTACCGAAGCACGTGGAATTCTTCTTCGGCAAATTTGAATAATAAAATTGGTGATTTGTTTTTCAAATAGAAGAGTAAACGCTTTACCTCGTTACTTGGACACAATTTCCTTGTTGAAATTCCTCAAAATTGTGTACGGAAGTAAAACTTTCCTGTGGTTTTCTTCTTGGAGATTGCCCGGAACATGTACAAGCTGCCTGTAAATTGCCTTGTGACCGACTGACTTTAAATTACGATGCAGGGCTGCAGGGCCACATAAAGCCGTATGAACGTGCCTTTTTACTCAAGCCACTCATGGCTTTGTGTTGCTACCGTAAACTAAGACAAACGGGCCCCATTACAGTTTTATATCTTGTCTATCCTTGAGGTGCTAATGGTGCATATATCAGTACCTTTAGATGACTGTCAACTGCATTCACCCACGACGCGCCATATACAGATGATGTCAGGAAGCTTGGCCGTTTCAGATCTGTAGCACTACCTTCAAATTACTCTTTGTGATTATTATACATCCTCAATAGCAAAAAGAATTGTACAGTCAACTGCTGTGTTGACTGCTGTGATGTGGAATATGAAGATTTAACACCTGACGGGTGCAAAGCACCCACGTTTTGTTATATCATGTCAAGATGTTAAAAAGATTCAAGGTTTTTAACTCGCTATTCAATAATTAAAGTAAATCGCTGTAGTTTAATATTTTGATTTCTGTAAGCGCTTTCGTGCAAAATATGAGATTGAGCGGTTGCGTGGCGCGCGGGCCTTTTACGTGCACATGCACGCACCCTTCACTGTCTGAATATTACAGACTGAACACGTGGCCGTTCTAGACCAATGAAATGAAGTATCCAGGACACTACATGTATATAACAATTACGATTTAAATATCGTTCCCTGTGGTATTTCGAGTTTCATCTCCAAAATTAGATTCTTTTTCTAAATTGCTATTTTTTTCGCAATACACATGTTATTCTCAATTAAATGAGACATTGACCGGAAAAAAATCGGTCAATGTTTATGAATACTTTACAATTTCAAACTTGATATTCGCGTTTGTTGAGTTACAAACGCAGGATGATCGGGTAGACAGCTATTTCATTGGACATTGCCCAGCTAAGCTGTGAATATACTCATGTCAAAACAGAAAATACAAATCAAGAAATTCGGCCTTTTCAAGTGGATTGTGTTTAAATTTGAAGGAAAAAAGCGTCCCATAAGCTTGCGGTTTGATCAATGTCAGTATAGGTTTAACTACAGGTACACGTTGCTCCCGGCTAGGTGACATCATCAGTTACAAATTGCAAACATATTGATTTAGTTCAGAGAGGATACAATGAATGTACAAGTGTCCAGGGGCGGAACCCGGAATTTTTGCGGGGGGGGGGGTTCAGGCTCGTCTGATTTTTTTTATGGCCGATTGTTGCGGACAGGCGGACATATATGTAATGCAGCTCATTGTTACTGACGCACTCACTGTTATAATTGTGTGGGTGAGTGTGGGTGAGTTTGTTTCTGCATTCAAAAGGGGACGTTGAACAAAAGAGGACAATTCCCGAAAGGTCCCCAATTTGACAATTTGAGTGTGATGCGGCATGCCGAGAGAGCCAAGACAGGTCTTGTAAACAACAGTCAGAATTTGAAATATTTTATGTTTCTTGATGGAAAGTCAATTTACTTGTTAATTTCAACATGGGAGTGATGTGATCGCGTTTATTGGCCTTGAAGATTAGCTTTGCTGCACGATTTTGTACGCGTTGGAGACGTTGAATTTGGGACGAGTTTACTCCATGTAGCAGAGAATTACCGTCATTTATGTATTGACTATGGCCTAATGCCAGCAATATTGGATAAGTGTATGGTATATTAGTGGTCCGCGACAGAGTTTGGACACATGGCGATTTAATGCAGAGTCGAACTTGACACCAAGACTTTTTTTAACAGTTGATGCAGGGGCAATAAAGGTCCAAAATGGTGAGTGTGATGTCAGATACATACCTCAGAGACTACTGTGAACTAGTCACGAAGATATTCGGTGTTGTCACAATTCAGCTTTAACATGTTAGATTTCAGCCATTTCTGTTGCGAGTTGGGCCCTGGATATGCTGTTGAAGACCAGCTTCCTCGAGAGACGAGAGAAATTGTGCTGCATTCGAAAGCTCTTAGGCGTGTATTGAGCCGCATCAAGTTTTTTGGGAATGCCGCCATGAATAAACTCGTAGCGAAAGGATGATGAAGACAAATGTGGGCCAGTCGTATTACACAGACTGAATTGTGCAAACCGTCGTGATCGGGCGTAAAGCGCCACCTACCCCTTCACCACCTGCGTTAATCGAATTTCCAACGTCCGCAAACGTTCGGGATTTAATAGTTCCTCGTCTTTGGAACAAATTAACGTGTGTGTAACATGTGCAGCATGTCATTATGTATATTATTTAGTTCTCCCGTGTGTAAAGACATTTAACATCTTTAAATCGACATTTATATCCATGTTTCTCGTTGCTGTCACTAAATCGGGTATGGGATCCAGTCGATACGTATTTATGAGTATCCGATAGACAACCAAATACTCACATTTCCACTTCGTGAAAATGCGCCAAAAATAAAGCATGTTTAAGACCTTAAGTAGCCTTCTTGGATCATTGTGTTGTCTCGGTTTATCTGTGTACATATACTATACTCGTTGTCTTGGGTTTATCCGTAAGCTATATTGTTTTGACACAGTCATGGACCTTAGCCCACACATCGCATGCCTCCTCATATAATTATCACCACTCACAAGGTTGAAAACAGAGAAGACGAAAGACGTCTAGAGAGTTTTACTTTGATTTTAAATTATATTTTTAGGAAATCCTTGTTTCATTGCATTTCCCAATTTTCTTTAATCGTGTTCTTTCGATTCATAATATCGTGGCATATTTTGGTTACCAGATTAATAAATTGGCTCCATAAACATAAACAAAACTAAGTTAACTTTATAACAGTTTCAGATTGACCTCCTAGTCAAGATCCCTAGAGGATGTTTCAGGAGGAAACCAACCAAGTACCAAGATGGCAGCAGTTTCAGAAATTGTTATCGGGAGGCCAAGTTCAATTCACGTTAATACATTTCTTGACTGATTTGAACAAACAGCTGTGTACAAGACTCGAGGCCTGGCGGTACCAACTCCCCACCTAACCATGGAGACCTGCTCTTCCCACCAAACCTAGGAAACGAACACAGGTGTAGCATTATGAGTACAGCAAGCTCAACACTGGCATGTAAGTTGGGAGCAAATTAGAGTAATGAATTGTATGAAACAAATCTACATTTTTCTTCATGTTTTTTTTTATACAGGGTGTTTCAATAAAAAGGAAACCCAACTTTGAAGAACCAGTATGGACAGACTAAATGTTAACTGGCTATAAAACTGTTATCATCTGAAAGCGTAATCTCTATTCTTTTCAATGATAGCTTGTTTACATTTCCAGGGTCATGCATCACTGAGCACCACTGTCAAGAGATTTTGATGCAAAATTGCAGTTGGTTCACTTTCATGTCAAACACAACAGGCATGGTGTGCATGAGAATAAGTATTCAAGAAGAAGACACCGAGTGCATAAAAAGAAACCCCCAAAAAAGTCGGGTTGCATGGTTTCAAAACTGGATTTTATTGTTTGTCATGAATTTCTCCTTTTGACCAAGCCACGTTCAAAACAATGTGCTATTTTCCCGAGGATTAACATTCAAGCCATTTCACAGACATTTTCGTAACATAGGCACACCGTGCCCAGTGGTTTGTTTTTTTATGAAATTGAACCAACTGCATTTTTGCATCCAGTTTTCAAGACAATGATGCTCAGTGATGCATGACTCAGAAAACCTAAACATAGTATCATTGAAAAGCATAGAGATTACGCTTTCAGATGATACCAGTTTTATAGTCAGTAAACATATCGTCTGTCCATACTCATTCTTTGAAGTTAGGTTTCCTTTTTTTTGTAAACACCCTGTATATTATGTCCCCCTTTTGTTTACTTTTACAATGAAGTGAACTCTAAACTTAAAAAAAAATTAAAGTGTGTTGCTTTGGAATTGTACTCTGTAGCTCGGTGGGTAAGCTTATGTTGATGTCCCAATAAGTTTGCCGTGTGAAGATTGATTGTGGGCGCGAGCGGGTTGCGGTGTGTCTTAGCTTTCTTGGCATTGACATTAGCAGCAAAAATATACACATACAACTCTTCGATCCGTGATGCATTGAAACATTGACGGGCCGACTGACGGGTATTTATATTTGTTTTCATGTCTGAATGTTAGATAAGGCAACTGGTAGTACTGGACCAGCATTAAATGAGGCGAAGTTTCGCGAAAAACGTGATATCTGAGCACGAATTGCCCTTCTGGAATGGCTTGTCTTGATTTTCACGCACGATATATTCACGGCAAGTTTGAAAGGTTTATACAAAATGGAAGATAGCAAAAACAATCTTTATTGTAGATATTCGCAAAATGCAAGTGTTTCAACTTGTACCAAAGATAGGTGGACAAACTGTAACGTGAGTTACAACTACGCGAGTTACTGAGCTGTATCCCCCTATGAGATCTCATTTGATGATTATAAATATATATTTTTAATAATTGTAAGGGCAGCATTTGACTTGCATAGGCCTACTAATGATGTAAGGACACTGAAAAGATTCTACCAACAGTGCACAGTATGAGGAAATTTTCAATTGCTAGATGTTGAAATTTTCACAATGTCCTGGTTTTTTTGGGGGTGGGGGTTGTATCGCGAGTAACCGATAAAAAAAAATTGCCAAACCAACAGAACATTATTTTTCTTAGCCTCTTTTTTTCATATTTTAGTCAGTTAATGTCAAGGGATCTTCTGTGAGAAAAATCCACTCTAAATGCTTTGACTTTATAGAATAACAGCACAGAGTTGACGCACAGAGTAATTTTTTTTGTATGTATTGTTTCAATCAAGTTTGGACACCTGCAACTCTCTGTAAAAGGAATTTCATTTTGTGCACAAATGAACCCGCCCTGCGAGTTTCAACTTTATCGTCCGACAGCCAATAATTCGAATTTTGTGGAGAAATACTTAACGGCGATGGGTTTTTTTCGTTTTGTGTCTTATACACAGATAACTTTTATTTTGTTAGGAAAATGGCATTTGAAAACCAAATCTATTTTCGAGGAATAACTCGAAAATAACACGGGGAATTCATCTTTAAATAATACGAATCTAAATAATTAATACACTTGGTGATCTTTAAATTTTTAACAGTTTAAATGGCTGAAAATACCTTGTCACATTTATTTACAAAATTGGATGTGTGATCAATTCAGCATTGCATGTCCTGAAATACGATTGGTTTAAAGTGTTGACATACATCCGATAAATGTGGGCCAAAGAACAATCAAAAGATGCTTGAATGTTTGAGTTGCCCAACGGTTGCCTGTCGGCATGACGTCACAGGTCACATGGTCTATAGAAAGAACAAGAACATACACAGTGTTCCTCATTTCTCATGTTCTAACTAATCGATGTACTTGTTTCTTTCTATTTTAGCTGTAGCTGCAGTTCATTTACAAGGTAAGAGCGAGAGGGATTGTTAATGATTAGGCCTACCTTGCTAAAATGCACATAAATTAATTTTTCTGTACGAAAGTTTTAGCATTCATAAATAAAATAGTTGTGATTGAAACTGCAAAGAAAAGACATAATGGCATTTAACGGTTGAAGTTGGTTTCCAAATTAGATTGTGATACATTGCGGTAATTTACTAGCGTTCACTCTATCCAGAAAACAACAAACCAATCTCAAATCAATCCTTACAAAGTCACCAACATGCTTTGCTTGCATTCAATTTGTTGAGACGATATTTAATTTCCTGTTTTTCCTCTCCAAGATTTCATCGAGGCCAGCGCCACAGCATGCTTTGAGAGTAACCAACTGGACCAAGATAATAACGACGGCGCAGGTAAATAATGTCCTGGGGAATTCCTCTCAGATTTGTTTGAGAAGGGAAGAAGCCATGGTTCCCTTGAGATGATGGAATTTAGCGATGCTGTGATGACTTACCTTTGCCATTAACCTGTTTTTTTTTCTTATTTCATGATGGTTTTTTTTAATTTGTCTATACATTTGGTGAAGATTGGATTAAGACGATTATTGCGTGGACAAGCAAGGAGATGTTTAGTCACATTCAAAGCAAGTTTAAACTAAAAGAAAAAGATGTTTGGGTAAATTATCAGACCGTTATATATCCCAGTTATTAAGGAATTCAGACACATTTTATCTGTGCCTTTGTCCGCAGAAACCAAAAAGAAGCTGCATGCTCTATTCAAGAAGAAATTTGTAAGTACATATGCCTAACGTATACTGATTAAAATACTGCGATGTGTCGAATGCTGATATGTAGGTAAATCTATATTAAAGTTAACGTCTTTTTAAATATTAGGCCATAATTAATGCTGAAAACATAACAACACACACCAAAACATTGCAGGAAAAAGGTAACAAAGAAATAACAAATATTTTTAATCTACTCATCTTTTCCAAAACTGCTTTTCATATATGAAAGATAGCCAGAAAACGAAGCAAGAAAAACTTTGCTATTTTCAAAAGCCGCTTTTCAGAGAAAAACTAAATTTAAGGAAGGAGTTTTCCTTGTTTGTTTTTTAGCGGGTAGACGACGATAATGATAATTGTTGCCGTGAATATTGTTGCCGCTGTCTACATTCTCTGTACTATTTAATTCGAAACTTATAATTTTAAGTTATGTACTTTTTTTCACATAGGGTAAAGACAAAGACAAGAGTATGATTGACGATATCACCACGGTTTTTACAAATTTTAAAATACGAGACCAAGATGACTTGGAATTTGCAGCATACAAAGTGAGTATATCATCAGCTCATCAACATTTAATCAACTCACTGTTAGTTAGATTAAATAAAATAAACAGTGAATATTGGACAAGCGTTTAAGTTTTGTGGAGATTATCTTCACATGGAACGTATTTCTTCATTATAATGTTCCTCATGTGGCACTGGTACTTACAATGGCACCTTTAACCCCTAGATTTCTTTTCTGTTGATGGATTTCTCCCCTTGTTTTATAATTTCTGCCATTTGCATCAGGACAAGCATTGGCGGGATGTAATCATGGAAGTCGAAAACAATAACACAAACAACTCAGTGCACTCGCCCTCTCAAGAGGAAGTGAAACGAAGAGACAAGGTCTGGGAGTTATTTCATAGCGAGTGCGTCTACCTCATAGAACACATCCTCGTCTTGAAAAATGTAAGAATTCAACTATATTTAAAATATATCTATATATTAACCCATAAACTCCCGCAGTCCCAAAAGACCCTTACCAGCACTCATAATGGTCATCATACATCTTTACGTAGTGATACCATGAATGTCATCATAATAGCGTGTTGTTGTTGTTTTTTCATCAATAGTGGGCTCAAATATATATTTGGGGAACTTTTCGTATCAACATAAAGATGTTATACAACATAATTTCCATCAATTCCTCAAATTATTTGACATCCTGCCTTTTCTGTAACATGCACGGCTTTTCCTATATAGGTAGATTGTGAACATATTAATTACAGATTGCAAGACTACTGGCTTTGTACATCGGACTTGTCAACATAATGTTATGAATACTATAGCCTATAAGTACATGTTTCCTATATGTGCATTATTTGTCATCCTTGAATCCCAGAAAAAATACATAATGGGGAATGCTTGCAAAGCCGTAGCTTATTCTCTGAAGGCCTCCACTCGATGCATTTAACACCTTGCTTGGAAATTGCACCTGGCCTTCTGATTGTTAAAACACTTCTAGTATCACAAATAATCTCTGGTGTGAATCCTCCCTTCCCGCGAGTGCTGCTTGTCTTTGTTCCATTGTACATGTACATCTATAATTAGTCTCTAGACAGTTGAGCTTACACATCTTTTTCTATAATAGTGACATGTTTTATTGACGCAAGTATAACAGCTGAAGTTGGTATTGTGTTGTTAAAGGTATTCCAGGAGCCTCTCCGCGCCTTACAATGCGAGGGATACCTTATGTACATCGAACCTGCTAAAATATTCGCAAATATAGACGAACTCAGCCAGGTACGTTGCAATGATAACTAAGTGCATTGAAATCAAACAATCATTATATCAAAAATGCAAGTACATGAGTTGATACTCCATTGATATTAACTTTTTCTTCATATTACAATGAACGTGTTGGACTCGGATATTGTTAGACATAATGATGAAATCTTTACCCGTATGACGTCGAACATTTTAATTGTTTGTGTTGACATATATATAATATTCTTTCAAGTCTAATCTAAAGAGAGGTCACGTCAGTAGCGTAATATTGTCGTCCAATTACACACAGGGCAAGGCAAGCACATGTTCTCAATGTCTGGATTGGTACTCGATGGTTATAGGGGAGTGCACAAGGGAGGGGAACAGGCCTCTAGCAGGTGGTGTTGTGCCCCACATGCCCCCCCCCCCCCCCCCCCCGTAGTTACACCACTGGTTTATATTATTAATTGCAAGTTCCATTGGGAACCTTCACTTGTGTCACCAAATTACCTTGGAAGATAACGTATTTTGTGTGATATTGGCTTTATCTGTGTAGGTCAGTGCCTCGTTTTGTCGAGATCTCATCCGAATGCTTCTGGCAAAAGCAAGCAGAACAGACTTCTGCCATACGGATGCAGTAGTAACTGCCTTTGCAATGGTAGGCAAGTAATGGACAATGGTTTAATGATAATTTACAACATTGTAATATATATATATATATAGAGCCTGAGTATCTGTGCTGCTAAATGGGGCAATTATGTAAACCGCCGGACAATATTTCGACAGACATCGACGTATGATTTCAACATATTGAAATAACACAGTTATTTCCTTCCACATGGCGTTGCCCGCAAATGTTTCTTATTTTATCCTATCCGCCATGCAAAGCTTCAAGAGTTATATAACGCAGTTATACATTATATATCTATCTATCTATCTCAGCAGTAGTCTTACGCTGAGGCCGGTGTCCTAAAACAACTTTATTCTTAGAAGACCACAAAGTTTATGCACGTCAGTGTGATTTTCTTTTATAATTTGTACCTTTGTTTTCATATTACATTAGAAACATTTCTTTGTCTTATTTTTTTTAATAGTTTGGTAACCGTGTGTGTCCAGCCTATCAGAGGTATTGCATGAATTACTCATCTGCTCTGCACTACATTGACAACCTAAAAAAACACGAAGACTTCGTTGAATTTGTGAAGGTGAGCCTGCTACCGTGTGAATCAATCAAACCACCATCGAACAGAAAATCGAAGTTTAACATCAGGGCAAGTTGACGGAGAAGGTTACTTACACTTTGGTGTCTAAAGCCTCATCTTTTACAGTTTATTCGTCTTTTTAAAAGCGTCTGGACTTAAATATCAAAGTTGCCTTTTAAAGTAAGTGGGGATTTTGTAATATTTTGTTTTTCAGTATTATTGTACAAGCAGGCTTGTATAATAAAATGCGATGAATAACTTTTCGCCTGACAACTTCGATTACTTTTACTATTATCACACAAGCATTTTTACCACAATTTATGTCTCCGTCGTACCCTCAAAAAAAAAACTATAGCTCATTAAACAATTCCATAGCCTTCAAAATTTTGTTCTTTGTCAGGAGTAGCCATGTTGTTATCGCTATGTAAGCTTAAACAAAGTCATGCACTTTATATAAGATGATGACAGTTTAGGATCCAAATAGGGCAAAACTTGGAGGAAAATTATCCGATGGTTAAATGTGCCCTATACGCGAAAGAATTCCAATCCGCTTTCATGCTCAAAGCCTAGCTACAGATTTTAGTCTGCTTTAAATGTGAGCCTTTTTGACACCAGCTTTGCGAACAGGACACACGATGCAAAAGATTACAACTTGCCGACCTGATGGTAGCACCCATCCAGCACGTGACCAAGTACCCCTTGCTTTTGAAAGACATACGGGAACGCACAGATGACCCTATTGAGCGCGCCAGCTTGAACGCAACCCTGCAGGCCGTCGGAGTTGCATTGAGTAAGTACACATAAAAAAAAAATTATGTGCATGTGCATCAATTTCAAATCCAGTCTTTTTGGTGTACGAGCAGTGCATGACGGTCGAGCTATTTTCCATAAAGAAATGCATCCCTTTAAAAAAAATGTCAACTAGCTTTACTGTGTAGTTACGTTGAATATCCCAGCCAGGTTGTATGTATGTTACGTGACTGTGATGGCTGTCAATGAAAACGATGAAACTCTCATTAAAATTCACCTTTTTGTGTTATTTACAGTGCCTTTTCTATAGGTGTTTCACTCCGTTTTGAGTGTTCAAAGTTGAAATCCACCAAAACGAATACTTAATTTTAACAAAATGCAATGTACATGTATTACGTTTTCATCAATTGAATCTCACATTGGTTTGGTTCTCCGCCCCCAACCCCACCCCCAAAAAATATATATTTATATATGTTGAAAAATAGACTTGCAGAGGCAGACTAATGTTCTGGATGAACTCATTTCCAATAAAAAAAAAACACTTTAACATTAATTACGGGAATTCAAAGTCGTGTTAATATTCTGTTCCTATTTTTATTCCAAAAAAATCGACCAAAAAACACATAAGAACCCACGGTAATGAACATCTAAACGTTGATAAACTTATTATGTGTATATTTGTTTTTCATGTTAATACAACATACTGATTTTTTATCAAGTTTTTTTCCTAACATTTGTTTTTCTTCATTTTGTCAATGTCGAAAGTATTCGTCAAATAAACGTGACTTGCGTCACTGTAGTTTTAAAACGTCCTGCTATAGCGTAGCAACATCATCAAATACGTAGAATACCTGGCAGTATATCCATGGCTCTTGTTTGTAAGAAATTTCAGATGATATCACACACCGGTTGTGAAATTCGCCGCACTTAATTCAGTTAGAAGTAACACGATAATATTTGGGAGATTCGTTTACAGCTTCCCCGGGGAAGTGTCGCATATTTCACAATCCTTCAACGTTATAAGGTATCATGTACGGAAGTAAAAAGCGGTCTTGCACTGTGAAATGCTCACGATACTCTGCAAAGGCTTGTAAATAAAACTTGTCATTATGTATTTATGTCAAAGCTCGAAGGGCACGAGTGACATTCCCCTCTGTTACTAAAAAAGTCTAAATTTCTGACCGTTCTTTCAGTGTTGTGTGCTTCTTGATGACGTCATTGCACGCATACAGATCACAAAAATGGGTGTTGCTACATTTGCTACAATCAATGCTACAATCAATGACAAGTGCAGTTGGTGATAAAAACCAGGTTTAAAAAAACACGTCGTTTCTAATTTAGTTTGGGTGGTGTTTTTTTTTTTTTTGGGGGGGGGGTTTGGGGGGGGGGCGTTATGTTATGACTGAACTTTGGTTAAACTCGGTTATTTTCCCTATATAGCGGAGTACATTGGTTCAGTGATTCCTATTTTAAAATAATCCTACCTCTGGCAAGCTCAATGTATTTGTCCTTTGCATTTGCTTAGAAAATGACTGAACATTGTCCAATATGCCAACTATGAGACTCCATCGTCTAGGTTTTAGTTACCATTCAGATTGTGTCGATGAATAATGAATAAGCGGAAATTGTCATTTGGATGCCACAGATGAACTGGACGGTAAGGTCAAGTGGCTTGGCAACTTCGAGAGATTGCGAGAGTTGCAGCAGATGATCACGTGGCCACAGGTTGAAGAACTGGACCCCAGAGTATCTGTACCCGAGGTAGGATTTTCCTCCAGCGAATTCCTTACTGGCGATTCACTTTATGAAAATATTTCCATCCTGAAAATTTGTTTTTACATCACTTGTTGCCTGTAGCTTTTCAGCTGTTTCCACGTTTCACTAATGTCCTTTGTAGATAGTTATTCCTGATCAGTTTCAACTTACCTCAAGCAAAACCTTTAATATTAGTAACTGAGATACAGTCAACAGGAAGTTGTTGAGGGAATGCGGATTGCGGAATGAAATTAGTAGATCCGATAAAAACTGTAGAAAGTATCTTCACAACATATAATATGCCCAGTAACCAAATCGGTATTTCAACTGCCATGTGCATAACAAGGTTCGACAATAGTACTTCGGAATAAGCGCGGCAGATAAACGCAAACAAGAGTATATGGAGACATAGTTACCGAATCTGTATTCTGCAAAACACCTTTAAAATACTTCGTTGTCCAAACTGTGTGCTTACTGAACTTCAGAACAAGACAATTGTTGCTGGTTACCCGTTACGATTTTGCATGCATACGGGTAATAACGGAAGGAAACTCGTCAAATCTTGATATAGGCCTACACGCATGCGCAGTTCAAATGCCGAACTGGCTTATTCAAATAAAAGTTCGATGCAAATTATCTGCCTGCTCCATGCAGAACTTATTTATTTATTACATTTTTTTTTACCAAGGGTTTGTCCAAACAGTTTAAAACTGGTTTCCATCGGGGCCCTCCATACACTACAAATGACTGCACAGATGTACAAATACAATCAATCTGCTTCTCTGCTTTTCTGATAGCAGGAAAGCAGATGGCCACTTTTCAGCCGCCTAAGTAAAATCTGCTTTTCTGGTATCCAAAAAGCAGAAAGGTGGAATGCTCAGTTGTTGTCAAATAGTTCGATCCACTTTTCTGCTTTTCTGAAGAAAATGGGAAAATTAATGCTTTGTCATTTCAATAGAAACCCAGAATGTCATATACCAACATGCTTGCGTCATGAACAGCAACCCCTACCCCCCCCCCCCCCACCACACCCCCGGAATTTAACACGACATTATTGACTGGGAATGGTAAGCAGTCACATGCCAGTGATAACGTGTTGAAAAAGAATGTTGTTCGCGGGTTGCAGTGGCGCAATCCAAATCTTGGATTACTGATATTTTCCCCACCATTTAAAATTGGACTCCGGCCTATTGTCCTAGACAATCAGTTTCATCTGTAAATGGATTGCTTTGTATATATCACTGCACGGACTAGTTTCAAGTAGCCCTGTCTACTATGTTCATATTTTCCCTAAAATAAATGGGTTTTTTTAGCACGAAATGATTGATTCTAACCAATAAATAATTCGTACAGACAAAAAATCACAAATGTCTTGCTATTTTTTTGGGGGAGGGGACTATTTTGACGTTGGTGGCACCACTAACCCCCTATTATACTACTCGAAAGTAGGCCACATACATGTCACCAAGGTCAAATCGTGGGACAAAAAAAAAATTGTCAACCTTAAGCGCCCCCCCCCCACCCCCCGCCCCTGGGTGCGCTACTTGCGGGTTGAAGTTTGCCTTCTTTTCACTTCATTGCCACAACTAAAACACCTTCACTTAATAGGAGGCAGCACACTGTTTTTTGAAATATAGATTTTTTTTCTCCCCATAGTTTCTCAAGGACACGGTAGCCAAGATGTCAAAAAGCAATTTGCTTGCCAGCACTAAAAGGACGCTTCTACATGAGGGACCACTTACACTGATCGGTACGATCTGTATTTTTTTAATTCAAGACTCTAGTGTTTGAGCAACTTGATTCACCAAAACAATTTCACTAGAAACAGGCTTCTGTTTTCGACAATTACAAGAACTAACTTTATGTTGCATCCACAGATGGAACCAAATCTTCAGAGATGTATATCTTCCTCTTTGATGACATGCTACTTATCAGCAAAATCCGAAAGAATAACGTCAAGAAAAAGTCACTTCCAGACGGCATGACAATCTCTGCCACGCCGCCTGTCCCACGTAAGAAGGATGGCTTTTCCTTCATTGTGTACAGGCCTCCCATCCCCTTGGACAGGGTCTCTGTGATAGAGTTAGAGAGCAAACGGGCAGCAGGTAGGAGGAAGATATCTTTGCCTCTCTGACACTGACTTGACTTTACTGAAATTTTCCTATGAATTGACTCGACCACAATCATAGCTAGGCCATCTTGGGCATCGAGTCGGCACAGTATGTTTATATTTTTATAAAAGTAAAAAGTAAAATTATCTTGACATCTTGTCGCGCTTCTTCACTGTAAAAAGGTTGGATAAAACACTGTTGGGCAATGTAATTTACCCAGCATTGGTATGAAATTACCTCATATTGGGTTAAATTGGGTAAAAATTGTTTAACTATTGGGAAGAATTTGCCCAAGAGTGTAGGCAGTTGATAATTCGACCAGCATAGGTCGAATTATCAACCCATTTTTCTCAACTTTTTTTTACAGTGTTTCTCTTGAGACTTCAAAATGCTTCATCCAATTTTACACCAAAGTTGACCAAAAGAACACGTGACTTTTTATTACATTGGACGGCATCAATAAGGGTTAAAGATCACAAATACGGTTAAGTATTACAAATGTGTCTAAATTCCGAGACGGGGTCATAATAGATTATGAATTACTGCTAATTGGCCCAAGCGTCTGGTGTACACAGCGGGGTGCACTATTTCATTGTGAATACACCACTCTTCGTGGCACGGCAAACATTAATATAAACTGTACTTTTAATTGTTAATCCACTATATGTTCAGAAGCTTTGCATTTTAAATTGGTAACTGACTTGACTGGACTCAGGCATACCCTTGTTGCTAGATTCAGCTCCACCTTGTCGCAATAATCTGGACGTGTTTGGGGAAAATGTGTGATTCTTCCAACGTTGGCTCCTTGTGATTTAGAGAAATCAAATGAAACCTTGTTTCTGTTGTTCTGTTTTTATGATACAGCAAGTGGCCTAAAACATGGATTTGTTCTGCTACAAAACAGCAGATACCAGCAATTTGTTGGAGCGTACACATTAGCTGCCAGTGACGACAATAGCAAGGTATGCAGCAAAAACAAAGTTATTACAACTGACGAATACATGTACATGTATATTCCTTTATCAGCATCCAAAATTGTATTCCCCGTGCATTTGGAGTTTCACCCTGAATTTGTTTTAAAAAGCTGTTTTCCAAGTAATTTAAAAGTTATTCACCTTTGAATGCGATACCAAACGAAAAAGCCACTGACGTTTAGTTATTGAATAATTTCTTTACAAAATTTGAATTATTGGCTGTCAGACAATAATTCCGCTCTCACAGGACGTGCATTTTTGAGAGCGGACGCCCAAAATAGGAATAGGAATAGAGTAGTTTCTGTGTTAAAACAAAAATACGAATTGCAAATTCGTTAGGAGAAAACATCCAATTTGTTTATGAAGAACACGGGGTATGTAACTTTAATAAAACAGTATCTAGTTACATCCGTTTATATAATGTCAAGGAAATGTAGTTTAGTCTGTGCAATAGTTTGCATGCATGGTGTTTGACTCTGCGGAGTTGTCTCATGGGTGAGTCAAAAAAGTGGAACCCAAACCCCCCAAATATTTCATATTTGAAATAAATATAGCGCCAAAAATAATAATGACTGGAAAGCCAATTTCATAAGCTACTTTTAGGTAAAAAATTATTGAAATTGCTTAATCCGTTCAAAGCATATTACCATTTAAACACAATGACCCTAAAACCTCTTTCGTCCAAAAATGCGATTTCAAGAATCGTCTTCACAATTGTCTTCAACCATCACCAGCAATAAAACCTCAGTTAAAAAGTTAAAAATATTCAACAAAGTCCTTTTGAAGGCCCGTCTTTTAAGAAAAATGGGTTATATAAATCATATTGTTTGCCCAACCCGGGTTGTTAATAAAGATATTGTGTATACTACCGCTGTTGACAGTTGTTAAAACAAGTATTCTGTGTCATTTTCTTTGTTGTTCCTAACAGTCAGAATACACAATAAATTGCTTTTTGGGACTAAACAGGTTTTAGGGTCATTGCGTTGAAATGGTGATATTCTTTGAACGGATTGAGCAATTTCAGTCATTTTTGCATCTAAAATTAGCCTATGAAATTGGCTATCCAGTCAATATTATTGGTGTTGCTATATATTTTTTTTAATATCAAATATAATTTTGGGGGTTTGGGTTCCGCTGGTTTTTTTTACTCACCCTGTACATGCTATGAACTCACTACCCAAGTCCATGCATTTATCGTCTTACTGGCCGTCCGTCCGTACTGCCGTGCAGTCATCGATAAACAATTTTAATGATTGATAAAGGTTACTTATTCATTGTGACTGAAAGGCACTTCTCAAATATTGTGTGGAAATTGTATACTTTCAGCGAGAGAAACAAAACCAACTTTCTGGACATACTTTTTACACTTGGAACAAAATCGTGTTAAAATTAATGAAAAGTCATTGAATACATGCCTTCAAATTAATCGGTTAAGGTGAAGACACTACTTTTTCCAAGATCGTGGTCCAACTGAAGATAAGCAGCTATGTAAACGATTTCCTATTTTTTTGTTTTATTTTTTGGCCCCATTAATGGCTATTCACCATTTCTTGAGCTATTATGCGCTTTTATTTTTGTCTACAGCAAATTTGGCTCACACATTTGAAAAATGCTCGCGAGAAATGGATCCTGATGCTTCGTAATGACGAGGGAGATGACTTCGCCAATGATGACATGCGACGAGACAGGAAAAAAACTCTTTGAGAAAACTTTCTAAACTTGTGATTGCGTCTCTATGGTAATGGATGTGTGTGTGTGCGATGATGGCCACGTAACCACGATGATGGCGTATCTTCAATTTAGATATCAGTCTTGTGGTAGAATTGTGTTGCATTACCCTTCTTCGAAAATTGGCAGAAGGAAAAGCTTACAAATCTACAAGACAGTGGCAGTGATATCAGCCTGCTGTTGGAAGAAGTATTGGATATTGTCTCTTTTTTCAAACAGAACGATTTGATACGATGATTTCATGTTTCAGCTCGGAAACATCCAAACTGAGCCAGATTTATTACTTTCCCGTTACGACCATTTTAACACATAACGCAATGCCCATGCAATTTCTTTACATAGCTGTGGTTAAAGGCACATAGCAACATTTAGTAGAGTCATTTTTCTGGAATCCGTGACCGTGTTGCGGATACCTTTTTTTCTTGATGGATTTGACAAATTGGACCAATTTAAAGAAAAAATATTTCCTATACACCTCCCAAAAGTGACGGCAAACTTTTTTATAGCACTTTTTTTCAAAATGGCTGCCGACGCCATATTGAAATACATATCAAATGATGTATCGGGAACCAGATGAGCCATAACGTAACGATAAATAAGGTGTCGATTCCCACAATTTCTGGCATGACAAATCTGCTAAAATGGTATTCATTACGTTTCGGACTATCGTGACCTCAAAATTCAAAATCGAGTCTGGTAGCCATCTTGAAAAATTGCATCTATTATATCTCTGGAACCAGAGGAGAAAAATAGACATATAAGATGTTATTTTCAATTATTTCTGGCATTACAACCCATTGGAATGGTTCTTTTGACGTCCAGGGACTACCATGACCTGCCAAGGGCGGATCCGGGGGGGGGGGCAAAGGGGGCCTGCCATGCCCCCCCCCCAAAAAAAAACGAAACCAATTTTTTTTTTTTTTTATGTGACATCGCAAAAAAGGCAGGCAATGAGAACACCACCATCTTTTCCTCAAAAAACATTGGTTAAAGTGGTCAGAAATTACCTCAGATCGCACCACAGAGCATCTAGAATCAAAAAAATTTCGGGGCCCTTAAGCGGGCCCGAACCCCACGCCGTAATTTCTTTGACCCACTTTTTTGGGGGGACCAAATTTTTTTTGGGCCCCCCAAAAAAATTGTTTTCTGAATCCGCCCTTGTGACCTGCTATTTGAAGATGACTGCTGTCCCCCATCTTTCAAAAAGTCAATCTGCAATATTATCTCTTGCGCCAAAAAGGCTCTTGGTTTGAGGAGCCATCCCATTTTAATCCACCACTACCTAACTTATTTGAGTGGTTATTTTGAGTTTTATCTTGATACCTATTTCTTTCTGCTATAACTTCTAACAATTTGTTTTAAATTAATTTGTTTTACTGGCTTAAGTAAATTTGTTCTCCATTGCATGGTTTATTATTTACACATGCTTTGCCTTACATATAGTTGCCATGGGCGTCGCCAGGATTTTTTCTAGAGGGGGGCAAAGCACATTTTCCCCCGAAATCCCTATATTTTCCTGCATTTCCCAGATTGATCATTTTTTCGAGGGTGGGCAGGGACATTTTCCCCCGCCCCCCCAACCCTTTAAATAAACAACAATATGATTTCGCCCCTCTTTCCCCCCCCCCCTTTTTCTCCTTTTTTGTGCTTGCCCCCCCCCCCCCCCCCCCCCCCCCCCCCCCCCCCCCCTGGCGACGCCTATGATAGTTGCCATTTGATTATTTTGATTCTTTATTTCGCGTGATATTGTTACGAATCTGTTGCTTATCATTCATCTGGTTAACAATTCGTTAATGTTCACTTCCTTGTGTTGGATATTTTTTATATTTAATCAGCTGATTCATCTTTTTATTTATATTTTTGTTTCGATTTCGTTTCTACTTCAATAGTTTACATGATTATTCATTTATGACATTTTCTATTTTCTCTAACCCTCACATCTGCATTTATCCCATGTTCTCCATTCGTGTTTGTCCGATTGTTAGTCTGTTTCTGTAACTGTTGAGTTGACATTTCGGTTTTGTTTTGTCAAGACATCTCCATATAAGCCCCCGGCTTCGAAAGATGCCTGTATAATTGCCTACATAGCTACATGTTTGATCTTGTTTATAATATTATTTATTAAATGGCATTGTTTCATTGTATTATGTTTCATTGCATTATGGAAATAAATGTTGATTGAATTGAAATTACATAACATTTTGAAGTCTTTGTAATGTGGGCCTTTGTAATTCATAAACATGTAATGTAAAACCTAGATAAGAAGGATAATGTCTTACACTTATTCAATTTTACTGTGTTACTGGTTCAGGTGAATTGTATGAACATCTGAGAACTTGTTGACAATGGAGAGCAGAAGAGACGGTGGATAGTTACAGCACTGAAGATGACAGTTTGGATAATATCTCAACTGAGAAGTTGGAGACTTACTATTGGTATTCTCCCACTTCTCAGTGTGAGAGAGTGTGAACCACAACTTGCACGTAAACAAAAGTGCAACTGTTTTTGGTATCATTTGTCATAAACTGCCTTAATTCGTACACATTTATAGCACTGTTTTTGGCCAAATAAAGAGTATGGCTGGATTGCTAAGGAATTTCTGTTCTGATTAGTCGTTAATTGAGCGAGAGGTGCTCAGTAGTTTCTGAGTTGGACAAAAGTATTGGAAGGGGGGACTTTCTTTTTTGGTTGATTGTATATGTAAGGCAAAACATGTAAATAATAAACCATGCAATGGAGAACAAATTTACTTAAGTCAGTAAAACAAATTCATTTAAAACAAATTATTAGAAGTTATAACAGAAAGAAATAGGTATCCAGATGAAACTCAAAATAACCATTCAAATAAGTTAGGTAGTGGTGGATTTAAATGGGATGGCTCCTCATACCAAGAGCCTCTGGCGCAAGAGATAATATTGCAGATTGACGTTTTGACAGATGGCGGACAGCAGGCATCTTCAAATAGCAGGTCATGGTAGTCCCTGAACGTCTAAAGAACCATTCCAATGGGTTGTAATGCCAGAAATAATTGAAAATAACATCTTATATGTCTATTTTGCTCCTCTGGTTCCAGAGATATAATAGATGCCGTTTTTCAAGATGGTTACCACCCGCCATTTTGAATTTTGAGGTCACGATAGTCCGAAACGTAATGAATACCATTTTAGCAGGTTTGTCATGCCAGAAATAGTGGGAATCGACACCTCATTTATCGTTACGTTATGGCTCATCTGGTTCCCGAGATATCACTTGTTATGTATTTCAATATGGCGTCGGCGGCCATTTTGAAAAAAAGTGCGATAAAAAAAGTTTGCCGTCACTTTTGGGAGGTGTATAGGAGCTATTTTTTCTTAAAATTGGTCCAATTAATCCATCAAGAAAAAAGGTATCCGCAACATGGTCACGGATTCCAGGAAAATGACTCTACTAATTGCAGTTTACCCGGAAACGTGCCTACCGATTTAACGAGAAAATCCCTGCAAAAAGTAAAGATAGGACTGGTACCAAATACGCTGTGAAATTACTCCGCCTGAAATGGTATCATTCAGAAAAAGAATCATTGATGATGGGAAACCCGCTATAAGAACACTTGTTGAAATCCTTTGTAAACATAGAGGGTTTTTAACATTTTCTCCCAAAAGACCGTGGTTTTCCTGTTACCTTTGCAGACCATCGAACTTTTTTTTTGCGTTTGGCGATTTCCGTATGAATGGATACTTTATAAAGACATATAGGATTATTTGTATTTTAAGCATTGTGTTCGTTTTCACTAATATAACCACTCAACATCCAAGGAAGAATGTTCCAAGCCTAACTGTTGACGTTTCTGCTCAGTGGATGTTACACTTTTCAAGAAAACAATGAATAACCATGCACAATCTTTTGATCGTTAATAAAATAATAGAAATCTGTATTTCCAAAAATCGTCAATTGACTGATCGTTGGAAATAATTTATGTTTCTTGACTCTTCTAAATGTCAGCAATCCAAACGGAATAATTTCACGAGGTGTTTAGTACCATGCAGTACTGATGTATTGTTGTGTTATTCCATAAATAGGAACAAAACCCATAACCCTGGGGAAGAGTTACAACAGTGAAATTGAACATAAAATAATTGTATGGCATGTGGGTTTATTACATTATGCTTTTTAAATATAGCAACACAAATAATAATACATATTTTTCTGTAGACAACATTACAAAAATAAACTGAGCATTATTTTGTGAAACCATTTTACTACAAAAGTCACTAAGAGATTCTTTCAAATATCGTTTAAGGTCATTCTAAAAAAAAACGCATTGTGGTTTCAACATCAAGTAGAATATGTGGACATAACCTTTCCTGTGGAGCTAAACAAATGTATCCACCAACTTCAATCATCATAATTGTGAGATGAACATCTAAATCGAGATAAATAAGATCTAAACCAGAATCCAATATGGCTCAAACTGATATATTTGTTTAGCATGCGGTTGATACATAATTTGTTTGGGTTTTTTTTTTTTTTTTTTTTTTACATTCCTTTCTAAGGTCACAATGCGGTCTATCACTACACTGTTTAATAAAAATTAAATATAATCCAATTACGTTTGTTATGATAATAATTCGGTAGATGACGGGTTTCTGCTTGTGTCTGATACCTTCTTTTGTCGTTCTAGATGGAATGTGTGGTTATGACGACGTTAATGACGATTATACTGACAGTCTTAATGATGACAATGCCGATAATGCAACTTCAGATTTAAAATCTACATTGGATATGGTTTATGTATATTCTGTCCACTGTTTTCAGCATATTAGTGAAAATATCTCAGACTGTATGTTGTACAGTGCATACTGATTTGTGTTGCCTTAACTCTTGCTCTGTCATGTTTGTCTTCACGTAGATATACGATCTGTTTGCTACTTTTTGCAAATAAAGCCATGTGCGTATGGCGTTTCACATGGGATATGCATGAGTATCGTTCATAAAAAAAAATACAGAAAACACAATTAAGATAGATGGCTGCTAATTGCAGTGTATTGTAACTCAATACTATAACTCTGACATGCACTGGAGTGGGAGCTGAGCCTGCGACCGTACCGTATGGTGATGTACATCCTACTTTAAGCCCATTTTGTTTCTTTGCAAAACTCTATACATGTATTCGTTTACCTTCGAAAACATCAGCTTTTTATGAAGCTCCCTGAACAGGTTTTAAATCTGAATTAGAATTGTTAATATAGTTATGAGGTATTAACGTAGATAAACGCAGGTTTGAGAGGACTTTTATTTATTTTACTTTTAAATAAAGTTAGCTCAAGTATACAACAAGCACATGGTCGTAATACTGACCAAGCTGTAGTGACTCGACAGTAACTTACAAGGCTGACGCTAAATGATACATTAGCTATCTGATTTGCCAGTGTCCCCATTTTAAATATTCATATTTTTGCGTTGAAGACTGAATGTTTATGCAGGCATCCAAAACTGAATAGCTGGGAAATTGAGATAGATAAAGCTGGTACATCACCACTCCACGCATATCTTCTGTTTTTAGTTCTTTGT